TATGGAGAAAGATTTTTGGGGACATCACGAATTTCAGTGCAAAGTACCGTTGCCTTTCTTAAAAGTATTTCACTGGGAGGTGGAACTGTCCGGGAAGGGTGGGAGGGGGAGGTTACGGCAGTAAGTAGGGACAGTTTAGTGTGATTGGACCACATGAATTATAAAGGAGAGAGGCCTAAGCGAGGATCGAAGCGGTAAAGCTTCAAAGCTCTTCGTTCGTTCAAAATCTACTGCCATACCATTTACTCGCTGATCACATTCAACTTACTCTGACGTTTCTCAAACACTTTCAATGCACAAAAGTTTTCGAAAGAGATACGGGCAAAAAAAGTTCTGAGTCAAAACGCACTCCAGAGAAGCAATCGATACAATCCGTTTCCCGCGGTCATACTTGTCGCAATTACAGACTTGGCAACACATATGACTTGATAGAGTCAATAGCACCAAAAAGCTTACATGATATCGATTTTTCCAAAGTCGTAACCATGGGTTATGCTGAGTCTGTAATTGCGGAAAGCCCAGCCGCGGGGAACAACGCTATAATCTCGCTTCTACTACGTATCAAATTTTCTCCTTGAATTCAAAACGAAGAAATTGACCGACGTGATGTCTTTCAGCTGATTCACTATTTTGCAGATTTCTAAATATAAATCTTCCCTCGCAATCTAACCTTCAACTTTCCTCAAGCTTTAGGTCCGCAGGTGTCTGGCAACGAACCTGGTTATTTACCCGATTATCAAGGCGATCAGTACACGAACAAGCAACGGATAGAGGAGACTCAAGCACTGAATAAGCCGTTCTTCGACACGATCGGCGGGCCACCTCCTGCTCCTGCACCGACACCAGCTCTATCTGGATCAGCCTCTTCGGGTGCGGCTTATCCATATCAGTCTTCCTCGAATACCATGTCAGACACTGCTTATCAATACCAGCCATCATCGAGTAGTTTGTCAGACTACACTTATCAAACGTCCTCAAACGGCATGTCAGGCTCCACATATCCGCTCTATTCACCAACGAATGGCATGTCCGACTCCACCTACCAATACCAGTCGCCCTCAAACAATATGTACGCCAATGTTAACCCCTAACCCTACCCTTCCAATGAATACCAATATAGCCAACCTACTCAAGGAGTTGGCAACACTTTCGGAGCCTATCCACCTCAATCTTCCAACGCACTGCAGACTGCCTTAGGCATCTGTTGTTTTCGTTAACGGCGGGTTACCATTGATGAATTTTGAGAAAGAAATAGAATTTGTAAAAAAAATCGTAGATATTGTACAGAATGTAAAAAACCGCTATTGATGGAATTGTTGTGCATAAACTGTTGTTTTCTTCCGCTCTCAACTGAATTCCACGGAATACATTTGGTACAAGCAGAACACAACTGAAATCCGACTTCAGAGCACCTTTAAGATTGGCTGCCAAAGAAAGCAAATGAAATTTTCCAAAAAAGGAGCAAAATGCCATAGAAAGCAGCATTTATAGAAAGTTTCGCGACTAAGTGTGGGCAGACATTGGACGTAACGATGAGACATTATTTGTTTTCCGCCTAGGGCACCTACGCAGTTACGGACTTACTGGCTTTTATGACCACGACCTCAAAAAAATCGATAAATGTGAATTTTTGACGCTGCTGATCCCACTTGATGCAGGTGTATGACTAAGTCATAATTTTGGCAAAAAAAAAATGTTTACGAATTCCAATAATTACTAGCTAACGCAGTGCGAACATAGCGGAGTGAGGAAGCTAAACGCTGGACCTCATGATGGTGCTTGGAGGGCAAGAACATGCCCAAAAGTGTCGTTCTCGAAAAGCTAAGAATGGATAACGAATTCTTCGAAACACTTCTCAGAAGGATCAATCCGAAGAGCAGTACTGTGCGAAACACACGAGATGTGCTTTCCTTATAAACACTGCAGTTTCATTGCCGACTTCCAGTGCTAAGATCGACACAGTTCATGAGAGCTCCACTGATGACGTCAAAAGGAATAAAGATCCTCCCTACAAAAACCGTGAACATGAAAAGCAAAAACGAGTCACCTTCATACTCTCTCGTATAAAAACAAAGCTCGAATGCTGCGTTGATCAATCGGCTGGTCGCTCCTTTTGAGCTTCTCTCCGACTGTACCGAGAAGGTCGAAAGCATCAAATAGCAAAGAGACACTGGGATCACAACAGACCAATTCGCCTGTGAACGAAAGTCTCACAAAACGATACTGCTTCCCATATGCGCACTGGTTACCTTACGTTTGCCATGAAAGGCGGAAGAGTGCAGAAAAAGTCTAACAATAAGTGCTGAGCAAGAATAGCGCTTTCCGAAGACTCTTCCTTATGAATGAAGATCATCTCAATCGACGCATGGCTAAGAAGGCAGACAAGTTGGAGGAACACACATAATGGGTAAACATGTCACACATGAGATTCCCAGATGACTGCGACAATAAAAAAATAAGAACGTTGTTGAGGAGCGGCTAGCCCAGTGGTCAATAGGACCATGGTTCTCTCTAGTGTCGCCCAACCACAAGCTGATAGTCGTCAGAAGGAAAAAAGGCAACGAGACAAATAATGGTTACCCACGATGGTCATTTGCGAACACCATGAGGTATCCAATTCTGGCTATAGATCGGATGTATGGCGCATTCCATAGCCCTATGGTCAAGTGCGTTCGTGTCAAGCACCAACGCCAATGAACGGTTCTTCCAGCTTCGCCCCGTATAAGGCTCGTTGCCGAGTGAGGATTTAATGCAGGCCAAGCCCTACCCCTATTTTAATATTGCCTATGCTTCCAAAACATGCCCAATTTATTTATTTATTTATTTATTTATTTATTTATTTATTTATTTATTTATTTATTTATTTATTTATTTATTTATTTATTTATTTATTTATAACGTTATGCTTAAGGCAAACGTGAGAAATACATAGTTAACAATTCGCATCTAAAATTACAGACAGATCCAAAAAGAAACTAGAGCTCACTGAAATTCAACAGTTCCACCTTACTTAGGCGCTTGAAAAGCCGGAAGGCCGGAGATGCTATCACCACTGAAGTTTTGAGAGACGTGAATTCAGACCCTGCTCGGCAAGTGAAGCTATGCCGCTTTAAATTCGTTTTCGGCGTGGCATACGATATCTTGTTGATATTAATATTAATGGATTATTGATTGATATTATTATTTTTAATAGCTCTTAATTCTCATCCTAATAAAAGTTAGAACAATTGCAAATGAACTCAAATTATTTTGAGCGATGGACTTTAGCCACAAATTTGATGTAGACCAAATGCCCATACTGCTATGGTGCAATTGAGAATCACATCGTGAGTAAAAGTCAACTATGAAGAAGGCCTCACGTAGCCTGGATTGATATAAAAATTTCTGAGTGGCAAGGGGCGATGGTCCACCTGCAAGAGATATTTTCATACCAGCAATACATTTAAGTTTTCAGGATCCTCATCCTACTACACGCCATCGTCTGGCTACAGCACTCAACAGTACAATCCAATTTCGTCTTCTGGTTACTCTAGCGGATCATCCAGTTCATCACAGTACTACAATCCCAACTCAAACTCACCTACTCGTTATTACGACCCAGTTTTGAACACGAACCTCGGTTACCCGAACCAAAACCAGCAGCAACAATACCAATATGGTACCGGATATGGTCAAGCAGGTCAAGCCAACAGTAATCAGGGTTACTATGGACAAACCCAGCAGTACAGCAGTACGGACAAAATCAGCAGTATGGACAGAACCAACAGTACCCGAACAACCAGCAATACGGTCAGCAGTACGATAGCGCTCAGAGTTGGTGCTGTGGACCGACATCGACGTCATGTTGCTATCAAACCAGCACGAGCTCTTCGAACTCCATGTACTACTATGATCCAAGCATGAGCAATAACAATATGAACTCAAAGTATAGTAATGGACAATATAATTACAACAGTGGAACTTATGGAAGCTCTAGCACCATGTTACCGTACACCACAACGACAAGATCTTACGGAAAGAAGAAATAGATAATTCTTCCGAACAGTTGTTTTCTCGTTACTCACCAATAAATGTACAGATATATCCATATTTTTGTTTTCTGCTGTGAGCCTGACGTAAGCCTTTCTAGGACACACTCAAACTGCTAGTACAGCTGTCTCAACGGCACGAAATCTTTGAAAAAACCTGAAACCCTTTTTGCAACAATTTTTTGTAGCAGTTTTATATATTAAGGCCACAGCCTACGGTGAAGTTGATTTAAACGTGTAAGATAATGAAAGTAGAGATGCGATGTGGCCGAAGTAGATGACAGCAGAAAAACCGCCGGCTTCACCCTGGATAAGATCTTTGACCCTTACAAGCAGCACCATACCCTTGGATGGTAACGGTTATATTCGGACGAGATTTCCGCGCTGCAAACGAACGGTCACAAACGGTGATTGTGAAGATGAGGATGAGGGACGAGATTCCGGTAAATTAAACGTTCAGCGCACAGTGAGGATCTATGAGTGTCAAGTGGATCAACCGCAGCTTACAGGGTAAAGTGCTGCCCACAAAAATGTTGAGCTTTCTCACACAATGTTAGATTGACTGCGATCACTACAATCCACCTAAATTTGTTTATAGGAAATTGATTGGGTTCAAAAAAACTTCGATGTTCCCCATGACAAGTGTTTTTCGAACATGAGGGCAGAGATATGGGGTGTGCCCCATTTATGAATTCATACAAAAATGTCCACCTTATGACCATCTATAAAAAATGAGACTGAATCCGCAAGTGGATACATGTTGTGTAGGAACTTCACATTGTGCACACAATTTTTTTTGTCGAGTAGATTCACACCGACTCCTACCAAGCAGTTGGATTACGCCGTGGATTTTATTTCGAATTTCCCACTGAAATGATTCAAGCAGTGATGAAGAGGATGCCCGAAGTAGATCCGGAAAAATTTTTGCAGGTCTCTTCAGGTTGGTCGCCGGTTGTCATCTTCCTCTAACCTACTGCCAAAACTTGAGAAAATAATAGCATGATCATAAGGCATTGCCTAGTTTTGAAAAAAAAAACTTTTGTTGAAAGTCGCAATAGCATTTCAAAGGCGATTTGCTTTAGATTGACTTGGAGGAGCCAGCCAATGAACAAGCTAGTGACCTTATCCTCACGAATCTCGTACAACCAACTGACCCGGAGAAGTGGAA